GAAAAAAAAGTGAGGTAGTTTCTATGGACAACACAACTTCTTTGTAATTTATTTCAGGCGGTGTTTGTCTTTTTCTTGTTACTTTAGAAATTAGAATGGACCAATTTAAATCCAGCAGACAAATATAAATCTAATTTGTGTTACTGAGAAATTATAAATATACATGCTGGAGAAATTATTCCCCCCTTTTTTCCCCTCCAAATACAACTTTTCTCCAAAATACTTATTTTGGTGTTCTAAAATAATTAAGTTAAGGCAATAGACAGCAAATAACATTGTGTGTATTTTAATAAATTTGCCTTAAATATGACTTTGCTTGTATTTCTGTTGGTAATAGATTCAACACTTTATCTGTAAGCTTAGCTTATATTGTCCGGAAAATTTAAAGCAAGTAAGTTGAAATTCTTCTAAGAAGTTACATAAAAGTTATGTGTGGCACTTAGGAGCATGATTTAGTGGGCATGGTGGTGATGAGTTAATGGTTGCACTAGATGAGGTCTTTTCCAAACTTAATAATTCTATGTTACTATTAAAATCCAATTATTATAAATTCTGCTATTACTAGGAATAAAAATGAATTCACAAAGATGAGACACACAAAGCTAAACTGTTAGCAGATTTTCCTTCCTACCTGAAAGTAATAAAATTGTAGTGTTATCTGGGAGAAAGATGGAGCCAAATACATATGCACATTGCCTTACTTTCTTTTCTGCCAAGTATTTCTCCTTCCTACAGCTGGATGATCTAATGCAGGCTCAAAGGCTAACATAGGAATCATACCCTGAAGGATTAACTGTAACATTTAGCAATAGCTCTGTGCTAGGGGAAGTGTAGCTCCATGCCTTTCTGAAAGGCAAACTCCTTGCACAACTCTGTGTACTGTGTCATCAAATCAGACAGTTCTCCCCCTTCCCTCAAATATTCAGTTCCCTTTCCATTTTTAGGCAGGAAGTGGGGTGAGCTTCTGGCCTGAGCCACTCCCTTTCTCTTTTAGGATGTGCAGCTGTGCTTTTGCTTTTATGAACACGTGCAGATAGACTTGAACTTATTTTGTCTGTACTCCAGGGTATGTGGATGTGAGCCAGCTCCAATCTGTCAGTGAGCTGGTTATGTTAGCTTAGAGTTATACCAAACCTGCTGAGCTCTGCTGAGACTCTGCTGTTATCACTAAAGTACAATGACACGCTAATGTATCTTCAGAGCTTAGAAATTAGACCAGGGTTGGGTCTGGTCAGGGCAAAATCTTCATAATATGTGTATAAATTTACTTCCAGTCTTTGTCTATATCTTCATCTCACAATGGAAAAAAAAAATAATAATAAAAAAAAATAATGGAAATAAGGCTGTCTCCTATGCATACCTTCCCTTCTATTTAAATTTTTAGCATCATGGGATCAAGATAGCTCTGGAATGGCAATAAGAGAAATTAAGGACCATTTTTGATCATTTAATTAGTCTTTAATTTATTACAGAATGCAATATGCATGTTTAGTCAGGATCCTTTGGATTATTCCATCCGGACTGATGCCCCATCCCTGGAGGCATTCAAGACCAGGCTGAATGTGGCTTGGAGCAGCCTGGTCAAGTGGTTAGTGACCCTGCCACAGCAGGGGGTTGAAACTAGATGATCATTGTGGTCCTTTTCAACCCAAGTCATTCTATGATTCTAATGAGAATGTGTCTCATGGACATAAGGGGGGAAATATACAAAAAAATGTAGGTTACAAATGGACAAAATTAAGATTTGAATGGAATATTTGGATAATAGTTTTGTCATAAGTGTCAGATTATGTTATTTAATTATACAGAGTTTTACAAGAAGAATTACTGGCTAAGCAAACTGAAAGTAGTCAGACTGAAACTCGGCAAGAAAAAAATACTCAGAAGTTTACTTCCTAGTAATACAAAATATTCCTGCAAAACTTGATAATTGCTATGTAATGAAATCTGAAGTACTAACTAAAAGAGTTTACTACTAAAGAGAAATATCTAAATAAAATCATTTTATTATGCAGAGCAGAGTGTCTTGACTAAACTTAATGACCAGGTTCTGAAGTTTGAATTTAGGAGTCTACATGTGAGTTAGGCGTCTAAGTTCTATGCATTCAATGTTCGCTCAATGTTTTCAGTGAAGTCTAGAGGAAGATTCATTAGACTGTGTATGGGTATGCACATTATAGGGAGTTAAATCACTTCCTAAACTTTACAGATCATTTTGCCAGAACCTCCACAATCTCCATAATGACAGATTAGATATTTAGTGCAGATGTCAACAGCTGCACTGATGGGTGTCTACACTGTGGTATCTGATGCTGGAATTAAGCCTCCAACAACCAAGATTAATTGATGTCAGACAAAAGTATACTGTTAGAACAGTGAACTAATTGTACTGTAGTAATAGCACCTAGGAGTGTCAGATAACAGTCTGCTGAAACTTTGTTCAAAGACGTGAGATAATATTATATATATATATATGTACAAGATTCTTGAAGTCTTGAAGCAGTTCTATGTAGTAAAATATTAGAAGGAAAAATAGCAACAAAACCAAACAACAGCAAACGAAAAATACCCTAAGAAAAGAGGTCTTCTGCACATATCATCTTAGAGAAATTTGAACAAATGAACTATCTTAATTCACAGTACCAGCCAAAAACAAAGTAATTCCTCCAAATTATGATTTAGGATAGTGAAATTAGGCAAGTCTCTAAGGCTGGCACTTAATTTTCTTCCTTCATTCTGAAGAGAGCATGTTCCAAGGATACATGAAGATAACAGATGAAATTGCACCAGAACATCCTTTATGTTAAACTGTCTTCCCATACAATCCCAACAAGTCCTATGTGTTTCCAGAAGCATAACTTTAAGGTCATTTCACGTACTTTTCACTGAAGAAACCACATGTGTTGTAATTATGAGAGAACAGGAGCATCTCCAGTGTTGCATAGTTCCACCAGTGTGCTTTAGAGAAAAGTACTAGCATATTCACAAGTCATTCTTCATCAGGTAGCTTGAGGAATCAGAGACCACACCGCCTGGCAGAAGCATATGGCACAATAAATACAGCAGTAATGTATTTAAGACAGAGTTACGAAAATACATCTCATTCAGGTTATTCTGGCTACCTGTACTTAGAAAGGAAACAACTTCAAAGGACTGAATCCCTGAAATCTCATTTGCCCCAGACAAGAAGTGATGTGCTATGAAATGCAGGTCCCAAGAGAAGCTTTGGATATCAAACATCATAGAGGTAGCACATTTCAACAATTGAATTTCAAACAAAAGCTGGTAACAGCTGGTAACACACATTTGTGGATCTGTAAATACTTTACTACTTGAAAAATGTAATGTCATTAGTCCCAAAGCTCTTCAGGCCCCAAATTTACTGTTTTCTTCTGGGAAAAGTCAAGGCCAGGTTTCAAAGTAGAGTGATGGAGTCACTGTTTTGCATGCTTTCTCTGTTATAGCCTGAATACATTCAGCCATTCACCAACAACTCCCAGGTACTTCCAATCCTACAGAAATTTGAACAACGGTTCTCAGACTTTCATAAAAAATCTCTTTATCATGTTGGCTTTCTCAAACTGGTTCTTCTTCTGCCTCTTATGTTCCAGCTGTTTTAGTTTGAATAAAATGCAAAGCCAAGGAGAATTGTTTGTTGGCTTAAACATTTCTACACTCCCTTAGAATGGCTTGTCTTTCTAAATATTTCAAATTTGTACAAGATAAAATGTGTCAGGAGAAGACATTAATAACACTGAATGACAGAATGCTTATGATTCAACAGTTGTGGCACTTTCCTGGAAGGTAGTAAATGTAGCTCAGCACTCAAAGAAAAAAAATTAATCTGAGTCACTCTCACACATGTAATGGAGATCCAAGTGAAATATTTATTTTAACCCAAACTTTTTCCTCGCTCTCCCATTTAAACACACAAAAGTAATGCTATTTTGGACTGAATTGTAAGGAAAGGAGAGGATTGGCTTTTCAGTTGACAAAAAAAAAAAAAAAAACAAAACAACAAGAAAAACCCTACAAATTAAAGAACAAAAAACAACCAAGTAATTGCGTGAAACATCTGAAGTTGTGGAGATTATTGAAAGAAGATGGAAATGTAAAAAGTGGTCAGTTTAGAATTAACCCCACCTAAAAACTAGAATGATTAATTCTGATACTTGCTTACAGTCTAGTGCAACTTTTCTTTATTTAGTTAGTTACTGGTATTAAATTGGCAAGTTATTGATCAGTGAGAATAGTTTGAAATTTCACCCAGGAGAGCTATGTGTGACATCCTCACCTCCCTAATGTCATTGAAAACATATCTCTATTTTCCCCATTTATAACAGAATATTCAAAATGAAGTTGCTTTGAATGTAGAACTTGGCTGAAAATTGTTTATACACACTTGCAGAGCCACATATAGAGAATTCAAAAATGTCATTAAGTTAGTGGGCTCAGTCTTGTTGCAGCATCACAGAGTTTAACACGCAATAGTGTCTGAGGAAAACACGAAGATAACCTGAATGAGATTTCTCTTAACAGCTGTTCTTCCCTAATCTACACCTGAATTAGTGACTTTATATCTGCTCATAATCTTTGAAGAAAAATAGGAAACAATTAATCACCTCATAAATAAAAAGCTAATTTAAGCCAGATGACCTGCCTCCTACCTGTTTAGTTCTATTGACTACATGGAAAGGGTAACTAGATCAGATGTAGAAAAACATCATATACCTGCAAAGATATATGGGATGAATGTCACTGTCCTTGACCTTGTCCTCATGTCCCAGATAGCTAAAGGTTTTAGCACCCTATTGCTTGCAGCTGAGCAAAAAGTACCTCAGGCATCTTTTTCTTCAGTCTCTTTTGCCACTACTTGTCTTGAGGATTTTTCAGAGGTCAAAATAGGCAAAATTATACAGACAGACTTTTATAATATTACTGGTTTTTTTCAGAAATGGAAAAGGAAGAGCAGTTAGTAAATGGATTCTTAATTTTTGCAGGTTCTTCTCCATTCCTAATGAGCTGGAGTGCATAATAAGAATGTTGTTTTAACATGGTGTAGAGGAACAGTGACAAACCTCTCCGTAAGTGTTATTACAAACTCCGAGTCTTCAAACCTTCCTCAGTTTTAATAAATAGGAGACAGCAAGAAAGTCAACAAAACACTGAAATGCAAAAGATTTATTTTTTATTGCAATTTTCTTCCTTACAAGAAGAAAAAATAATGTTTTATTGTATTTAGTGTAGTCCTTTCCAATCTGATTTCAGAAAAAGAATCACAAAGATAGCTTTTAGTGCTTTATAAGAACTCTACAGGCCTTTTGTGTCTGCAAAAGCCTCTTAGAAATTTCCCAAGAGAAGACTTGTCATGCAGTTTTCAAGACTTAAAAATAACAATACTCTAACTTCTGGCTAGCAATGGAAAGTAGATGAAAATCAAAATCAGGAATGATAATTTTTTTTTTTTTTCAAAATGTAGTTTTGGTTTAGAATTGCCAAGTAATAAGTCAGCTGTCGTTTAAAATTACTAAATTTCCATTACTGCATTTATACTGTTGAATTTCCAGCAACTTTTTTTTTACTTTAACTTCTCCGAAGACAATTATTGTCTTTCAGATTTTTAAATAATAGCAGGTAGGCTCCCTTGCATCAATAGTTCCCATGAAATTCACATTCAGGTCCTGATTTAAATCCAGACTTGAGGAGATCTCACATTACAAGAGCCTGAAATACTTCACTAGTTGTATTTCCTCAGTTATGATCCCTTTGTTCATTTTCAGCTGGAACAATAGCATCATGATAAATTTTGCAAAATGATATTTTGAAGTATCTCTATTATTGAGATCTGATCAGGAACCCTTGCTGGCAGAATGGTATCTCAAAGGTGCAATTTAGACTTCAGGGATTCCCTTAGAACAAAAAGTAGAGACTGTAGCTGTAAAATCGTCTCTTGAAAAACATGATGCATGATGAACAGTATCCCAGAACTACTTGGTATAATGAATCCAAACTAGGCTGTTTCTCATAGTAGAGTTTGAAATCATTAATATAAAATATTTTTTTTTCCTGGGGCTTCCTAAACCTCAGAAGCAATTAATTAGGAGTTCTCTTTGTGGCCTTTTATCTTCACAACCTTCTGGACTATTCAGGGGAGGAGAATTGTACCCTGAAGTCTCTGTTCCAGATTTTCAGTTTCTTTTCTGTCAGCATAATTACAGGAAATTTTACTCAAAAAGTTCAATCAGCAAAACCTGAGTTTCCTTTTTCTCTCAAATGTAAGAATTTAGTTGAAAGGATATAGTAAATTTACTAATATAAATAAAGAACATAGTAGATAATCATTGTCAACTTATATTCAAATCAAAACTTTGGATATAAATCCAGACTGAATCTAAACTCTATTTAAAAGAAAACAACTGTATCTTGATTCCAAATTCTTTGTTTTTGCCTTCCAAAAAAACTGATGAAATACCTATGAAAATATGCTACAGAAGAAGAGGATTCATGCTGAGCTGGATATAAAAGCAGTTGAGAAACCTACTGGCTCAGTGACAGACAGAAGATCCCCCCCAAATTCTGTCTGAGCAACCTCAGTTTGAGACAGATGTGGGATTTCCAGATTTCAAAATCTGTACATATGCACAAGTGGGTGACAGAATTAAGAAGGTGAAGAGGAGTAAAAAAAAAGAATCATTTTACAGTGCACATTCTTTTTCAGTGATCCATACAGTACTGCAGAAGCTGCCTATGCACTTGGCAGTGGAGGAGACTAACACAAGTTCTGTTTTATAGGGGAGGAAACATTTATTTTGATAAAATAAATAAATACTTGTTCCAAATAATCAAGAGCAAGGATGCACAGCAATAAATATTTGGTATAGTGCAGAAGGAGTAACAGGGTTTTCACCTGTGTCTGTGTGGTACAGAAAGCCTACTTGAAACTCTGCTCAATCATGATCTCAGTCTGGGGACCTCATCTCTGGATTAGAATTGAAGGGATCAGTGATCTCAAGATTGTATGGGATTTTACAGAAAAACAGCAGCTTTTATCTGGCTTCCCATACCACAGTTTCACATTAACATTGGCTTCTGACGGATTTTAATTCACATCCACAGCAGATCATTGTCTGTTTGAGGAACAGATCTAGTATACCAGTGCAAACTACAAATCTCATATTTTTCACCTATACAAAAAAGTGAGAAAATAACACACTGATGGGCTCTGTTTGAAATAGAAGACAGAGAGGTGAAACGTGTCCCACCGTCTTGGAGTTGTAAAAGTCCATTGGGTAGAAAGGTGGATTTGTTCACACAGTAAAATGTAAGCAAGATTTTCTACAGCCTCATTCTAATAGTGTTAGAGAAGTGGACATGCATACTATGTCTTTAGTAATAGAACGGAAAAATGAAGGTATGGTGATATTGTTGAAATTGTTTTGGACCTTGGGGTATTTGAATTCAAAATTTCATATGAGTTACTGGATTTTCTGTGTCTGATTCATGCTGCATAACTAAACAGAGGTTCATATGTCAGAGTATAGAAAAAAATATTAAACAATGTAAAGGTGAAGTAAAATAAGTACTAAAATTGAAATTATTTCTTTTTGTATAATTTTGCTCAGAAAAATTTATTCTATCTCCAGCCTATGGTTTTACTTGTTTGTCAAATCTTCAGTGGCATTCTGAATTGAAGCTACATGTGTATTTATTAGCAGATACGTTTGTACATAATATATGCTAAAGGAAGAAAGACAGTGTACTCTAACCTTTGTTTTCTCATTTGTAGAAAACATTTTCCTGATCTTGTATGTTGTTTTATACATCAGGGTGGCACTTTTTATATTTAAAAATATATATATTTGTGTATATGCATACATATCTGTACATATTTTTATATATGTGTGTGTGAATATATACATGGACATATGTAGACATACTTTTTATGTAAGTATGCACACACACATATGTAAGCCATGTTTTGCTATTCTTTTACATTTCCATAATGAGAAATCTACTTTACAGTATGTGAAACTACTATATTTAGGGAAAACAGACTGCTGTGATTAAGAGAATTAGTTATCTGTCATTGTATCTATCTGTCTATCTATCTGTCTATCAGTAAGTCGATTTCTGTACTGTTTGAATTTATATGGAGTAAGTGCGGGCAAAATGCTGTCACTGAAGATCTAACTGATGAAAACCAATTGGCACATTTATTTTGCAGTACTAGTGCTTAATTAAATGGGAAAGAAGAGCAATAACAGTGTAAATTTAGTATTAATAGTGGCTTTTTAAAATATTGGTAATAAGGTGCCTTATTTTCTGGGTAACTTAGATGGATGTAGTAATTTTCAACACTTCTTGTTTGTACAGATTCACAGAACTCTTCGAAATGGAAGGCAATTGGAAATAACCTGTGCAATTCCACGCTCAGGGGAGGGCCAATGTTGATCAGGTTGCTCGTGTTCTGTTTCATTAGGGATGGAAATTTCACATCCTCTGTGAGTAAGTTTTTATTTTCTTCACAACCCCAAAGGTCTTACTTTAAGCACAAATGAAATTTCTTGTATTCCCATCTGCAGAATTTACCAGGGGAGCAAGGATTTCAATTAAATTGTGTCAAAGAAACACATTACCTTACTAGAAAAACAGCAAACGCTCAACTTATTTTAAGAAAATTATTTATTTATTGTGAAACAAGATCTTTATTCTCAATGTTTGTTTTTTAAACAATGACAATGGGAGAATGCAGCATACATTCAAGAAAGATAATCAGATTTTTTAATGATTTGTCCTGAGGCTGTTCTAACTTAATATTTCCATTAGCAATATTGGCATTAGATAAAAGATGTATTTAAAGAAATCTGATGACAAATTTGGTAGATGCCATCACAAAGAAATGTCATGATATCCAAAAAGAACCAAAATAGTTTATGGTTTGGTGTGATGGTAATGAGATGAGATGTAATAATGTGACATCTAAATTAGAAATTTATTAATTAGATAAGAACGATTATGTTCTTTACATTAAAGTCAATCACAGCATGACTATGCATTACCAATAGCCTGAAACAATGAAAAATTCAAATGTGATCCCAACATATATCTGATCAAGTATCTGAAGCAGAAGGAGGGAAGCTTTAAAGCAATATGATCACAGCTTCTGAGACCTAATCTGCAGTCTGTGTGAAAAAGCAAAAGCAATTGCCTTTATTCAGAAACAACTGAAGAAAGAGCAGCTAAGATAACTGACAGAATGGAAATCTCATTTTATGAGGAGAATAAAAGAACCTGTTTTTTGTGCCATTTCAAAGTGAAAATGGACGTGAATGGACATGTTTTACTAAGCAAATGCGATTACTAAAAGTAACTAAAAGTTATTAAATACAAGGACAACCTTGACACAAAAATAAATTACTGCAAACTGTAGATGAATTCAAATAACACATCAAGCAAAATGTCTCTGTACAATTAAAAGGATACTTTGGAACATCTAGTTCTTTAAAAAAAAATAAGATTATAAATGCTGGACAAAACTATTAAGGAGACCATGTGTTATGGTTACAAGTAGAAACGGTAGACTCAACATGCTGCCCTTGGTCTGCTCTCAAAGCTGATGTGTAACTGTTGTTTGTGCTGTAATTGCTGGGGGGAGGCATGTTTTGTGAATCTCTGCCTGTTGGACCTCTACCTGTTAAAGCTTCACAAAGAATGGACAGTTTCAAGTTTCTTGAACTTTTGTCTTCTCCAGGCTGAACTGCAAGTGTGTTAATCTAGTTAGATTAAAAATAGAAGAATAAATCAATGTGAGGGGATCTGTTAAATAATACTTTTTGCGGCAGATTTGTTTTTGTATACATCAAAATAAACTTCCACTTTAAAATAAACTAATACATTTCATACAATTTTTCAAGGTTTATCTGTCATTTCATATATTTCATAAATGGATCCATCCACTTTATTAATAACTTGTTACAGTTATGCAGCTAAACTATCTTAGGAAATACATCCCAAGGTAACGAAAGGTAAGGAAGTACATCCTTCTGAGTTGGAGTAGTTGGTGCTTGAACTTCATAGTGCTAAACTGCCATTTCTGAATTCATATGTCTCTAGTGTTTGCCAAGATGTATTAAAACCAGAACACATTGCTAGCGTTCTTGTGTTTTGGCTTCAGTAAAATGATATTTTTTTATTTCAAGTATTATAACTATACAGTTTGGACTAGTTCCAGTGCTGTTTTTCAGCACCATGAATCATCCAATAATTAACTTTCCAGAGCCAAGACATTCATTATTTAATTGTTTTTCTCCACCTGAGAAGTCACAGAACAAAAGGTTTTAGTGGCTTGTGTTCATGTTTATTCAAATCTCTTTCATCAGAAAGTTGAGCTGCAAATCTTGTGAGAACAGGCTCTCTCAAGAGCTTTCCAAGAGTGTTCCTCAATCCAGCTTGGAAATGATTCAAAAAATAGCTTTATTTTTTGTTATTTCACAACTTGCAGTTCTCTTCCTGTGTCAGAACTTAATATTGCAGACCAAAGGTGGAAATGATAAAAGTTCAGAGACCTCTATAGAGGTGAAATTCCTATTTTAGGCAGCTGAGGTTTGTTGTTGAGCTAAGGGCAGTAGTTTTAATGTTACGTTAGATGGAAAACTATTTGACAGTCTGATGGCTCTGTTCAGAGTTTGCTGAATGACACTGTGTAGCTATACATATATATATCTTCTTTGAAATGGAGCAAAATCATACTTTCTAAAAAAATCTGTATTTATTTGTCAGCAGACTACACACAAGCCGAATATTTGAAAGGTCATTATTGTTGTTGTCACTATTGTAAACATTATTATTGCAGCTTCGACTGGAAGTTTTAGGAATGGTCAAGTAAACTTAATTACTGATAAAATTTGATCCTAATGCATATTTAATTTTACTAGATTGTTTTAAAATTACCCATCGGTGGTAATGTGTTTAAGCATGTGTTTTCCTAAATATATGTTTCTTAATTCTAAAATTATTCTAAATTGTTCATTTCTTTATTATCGATTAATTTGTGTGATACATTTGCAACAATTAATAATTAAACTGCAATTTGTATCAGAATCATAATTGCTTACATGATGCTTCATTCGCTTGCAATTTTCCAATTGCATGATTATAAAATCAAATGAGTATTTATTAAGAGAAAGCGTTCCCTCCCAAGGAGTTTGAAAAATACCTCAAACGATATCTGACCAAGCCTCTACTGTTTGACTACTAGCTTTATAACTGATATAATGGTTTACAAGTACAGTACCTGACATTAATTTTACTAGATTTTTAATAATTACATCATGTTAACTTGGTACGAGTAACTATTTTATTAAATATATGCAGCTTTACAAACCTAGAAGCCTTCCCATATGAAGCAGTGTTAAAACAACAATTCATATTGTCTATCTTCCATTTATGCCTGGGCAAAGGTCTCAGGTCATATGTGTTTCAATGACACCATTTACTACAAATCACTGAGATATAAACAAATTGGGCAAATGAAACACTTGCCGTTTAATAGAACAAGAGAATGACAGTTGTCTCCATCCCCAGGCAAGAAGAGAATGTTGTTTTATTTTAAAGGTGATGCAAGACATTAGACATTGCTTTCTACTTACTGTAACTGTAGCTGTATCACTCAGTGTTCTCAAAATGTTGAAAGCTAAGCTTTCTAAATAATTTCAATTGCAAACTCTGAGGTCAAGGTTTAGAACAATTGCCCAAACAGCATAACAAATAGCAGCAGTTCTTGAAACTTGGCACCTATCCCATCAAGGATATTCAGAAAAACAAATTTGGCTGAGGGGAAGACATCTTTAACATACAGTTTTATGTGTCATGTCCTTTTCACTTTAAAATGTTGTAGTAAAATAAAATTTGAAGATCAAGAAATGGTCCGCAGATGCCTTTGTCTGCAATTAAATTACCAGATAGTTTTCTGTCATTGTCTTCTGGTTCTCTAAGTTCTGCATCGATTTTTGTTTAGTGCCCAGCTTCAATAAATCAGAATAGAATCCCTCCCAAAATTTCTATGTATCTTAATTCTCCGTAATCACCAAAGCCCAAATATTCTCGTTAGCATGGCTTACAATATTCTTGGGAAAATATAAGGCTAGTTTTAAGTTTCTGGACGCTGGGGAAGGAAATGGACTCAATATTCTCACTTTTTAAAATTATTTAATATAGTTCTATTATAGAAATTGTGGGAGGAAAATTACTGTTGCACTGACACTGTGTGAAACCAATGATTTATGCTAAAACTTGTGTTTGGAAGCATTCATACTGAATGTTATTTCATCAAGGGCATGCGGATTTGAATATTTCTTTCCTTTGGTCCTGAAATGCAGTTGCTGTAAACAGCTCCATAACTCACAATTCTCCTTTGCTGGAGTGAGTGGGGAGAAAATGTGAAAGCTAAATTGGGAAGTGATTGACGAGCTTGGAGTGCAGAGCTAGATTATGGGTTTTCTGGGTTATGGTGCTGAACTAACATGTGTACCTTTTGGTAAAACTCTAGTTTAGGTATAATCTGTGATTCTGTGTGATTCTGTGATTCTGTGAAATAGGCCCTCTAGGTCTTCTGCTGAGAAACTGTCAGGTCATGCCAACAACTGCAGTTTAGAGACCGTGGTATTTAAGTTCATATCCACTGATGAACTATTTTCCTCACACGAAAAATAGGCTACTTTAGTATTCTTCAGTCACTGCTTTTAAGACCCTCTAATAATTAATTAAAATCCTACTAGATACCAGAGATAGTTAAAGCCATCTCGACATGTTCCTGGGTAACTGGCCACCTCGTCTAGGTGTTTCTGCTTGACCAAGTGACCAGGGGCTTGGACCAGGTGACCTTCAGATATCCCTTCCAACCTCAGCAATTTTGTGACTCTTGTTCTGTGAAAATTTTGCAGCAAAATATAAAATTATTGTGTGGCAGAAAGGTGCTCTGTGTCACTTTGTTTTGGGACTCAACAATCCTTGAATGATGAGTGGCTTTTTTCATCATTGTTCAATTATGACTTAAATTAAATGAAAAACACCCCAAAATGACAGGTCTTCTGTGCATAATGCTTTACGTTGTTTTCTGGTACTTGCGGTATCTTTCTTTTGCTGAATGATAAAGTACCTAGAAGAAGAGGTCTGACATAATTTTTTTAGTTTTATAGTTTTTTTTAGAAAAAATCTTCCCTCCCCCCCCCATTTTAGTGCACACAGTCATGTAAGAGAAACTGAGGGTGCTACTCTTCCTGTTCTTTTCAAAATTTGGATTTAGCCGAGATCAACATTTTGGCTCTGTGAAGTCATTTAGAAAGCTCCCATTGACTCTGCTAAGGTCAGGAAGGGAGCATTAGGTAATTGGCTCTATGCTGTCCTCTCTGTTGTCTTAATAAAAAAGTTAAGAGGTGGTCCTAAATCAGATTTACAGATGTATAGTTTCCAAGCCCAAATTTTATTTGAAAGAAAGCCGAGA